ACCAGTATAAGATGTTAATAATAAGGTGAATGGTTGTTGTGTTTTTTTTTAATCTATTTGGGCTGTTATAACAAAATACAGTAGGCTGACTGGTGGCTTATAAACAACAGAAATTCATTTCTTACAGTTCTGGAGGCTGGGCAGTGCAAGTTCAAGGTGCCAAAGATTCAGTGTCTGGTGAGAGCCAGCTTCCTCATAGATGACTGTCTTTTCACTATAATCTCAGAGGGTGGAAAGGCGAGGGAGCTTTCTTTGGCCTCTTTCATAAGGTCACCAATGCCATTCATGAGGACTCCACCCTCATGACCAAGTCACCTCCACAGCTTCCACCTCCTGCCATCACCAGGGTGGGGGTGGGGGTGGGGTGAAGATTTCAACATGAATTTGCATGGAGGGGGCAAAAACATTAAATTCATTTCATGGGGCATATGGGAACTCTGTATTATCTTTGAAGTTTTTCTATAAATCTAAAACTATTCTAAAATTATTTTTAAAGTTTATTAAAGAACAAAACAAGGCTCATGTTGAATAGGTGGCTTGCCCCAGGTTAGAATGGGGACTAGAATCTAGGTTTTTGGAATCTGAGTCATTTTCATGACTGAGGAATTTCCACCACTACCACCTGGAAGGCAGCTGCGCGTCTGTGGTTGTTGGTGGTCCAGGATGAATGTGACTGGGTACGAACTTCAAATAAAACGATTCAGGAAGACCAAGGCAATAGAGAGCGATGAGTGGGATGGATTTGGGAAGACAGTATTTCAAGATGCAGAACAGTCCGCTGAATCAGGTGCCATGGAGCTAGGCATAAAGGTGCAGAGGCTGGTCAAATGGGCAGTCGGCACACAGGCTGGAAGACTGGGAACGACGGGCCAGAGGTCAGACAAATATTTGAGGAAACACAAGATTAGAATCTAGAATTAGAGTAATAGGTATAGGGAATAGAAATAATTGTACCTTTTGAGTTAAGTACTGTTCTTTTTTTATCCTCCCCGCCTGGGGAGCCATGAAGTGTGGCTAGGCCTAAGCTAGGGGCAGCTAGGATAACCAGTGGGGGCCGGGGAAACCAAGGCATGGGGAGCTAGGAGTTCCGGATGCCTGACGTCCATCTTCCGGAAATCTCTCAGGTCAGTCCGACTGTATTCTTAACTTTGGCTTTTCTGACTCTTAGCTTAGTTCCCTCACTGTTCAATTACATATCCTTCCATTATAAGTGACCTCCCATCCATATCACCATTTGGGTCTTTATTTTTTTTTCTTTTACCATTTGGGTTTTTCAATGAGCTATTTGGGGTTTTCCCCACCTGCCCAAATGTCACTTATGCCCAATAACTAGTCCCCTGAAATATTAACTAGTAGCATATGTAAATACCCACTGATATACTATAACCAGTAACGGTACTTTGCCTCTGCCTCTAGAATTGGACCCATTTTACAGAATTAAAATCAGTACTTTATAAGACTGTGCAGCAGGGACTGCCCCTTCCCCTGCTCCCTAAGCCACCTGTTGCAGTGAGCTTTCCCAGGCCAGGGAGCACATTTCATTCATCTCCAGCTTTATTATCTGAAGTGCTGGTACACAATAGGCTCTCAGTAATTTTTTTAAAAATTTGAATAAACCAGTGACCACCCTCCTACAATTGCTGGTCTCCCCACATTTGCTCTCCTGTTTAGTTTTTTTTTCCATTGCAGACTGTTATGGGTTGAATTGTGTTCCCCCAAAAGACGTTGAAGTCCTAACCCCCAGTACTATCTATGAGACCTTATTTGGAAATAGGGCCTTTGCAGATGACCAGATTAAGACGTGGTCATTAGGGTGGGCCCTAATTCAGTATGACTATGACCCTATAAAAAGAAGACACAGGGACACACACATACAAACAGGGAGAACACCATGTGAAAGATGAAGACAGAGACTCAGGTGATGCAGCAGAAGGCGATGAATACCAAACACTGCTAGCCAACCACGGGGACATAAGAGAGAGGCATGGGACAGATGCTTTCTCCCAGCTCCTAAGAGGAACCAACCCTACTAACACCTTCATCTGGGACTTCTGACCTCCATATCATAACAGTACAACACTGTTTAAGTCACCCAGCTTGTGGCACTTTATCACAATAGCCCTAGCAAACTAATACACATATCACCTTCACCTTCTACCTTTCTTTAAAAAAAAATTGTCATTGATTTTAGACAGGCAAGGGAGTGGAGAGAAACATCGATTTGTTGTTCCACTTATTTATGCATTCATTGGTTGATTCTTGTATGTGTCCCGACTGGCCATCAAACCTATGACCTTGGTGTTTCAGGACGATGCTCTAACCAATGGAGCATCCAGCCAGGGCTCTACCTTTTTAATTGCCTACCGTCCTGAATAGAATGTAAGCTCCATGAGGTCAGAAATTTTATCTGTTTTGTTCATTCATGAATCCTCAGCATGTAGAACCATTTCTGGCACATTGTAACTCTCAATATTTGTTGAAAAACATAATATCCACAAATATTTTGGAGGAGAGGGATTTTTCACATTAATTTGTACACTGTTATTTGAAAACAACCTACATGAAAATGTTTCCAATTATAAAGTAGTAGTTGATAACAATCAATTAAAAATAAAATCTACAATGTTTTCTAGCTCCCCTCTAGGAGGAGGGAATCCTAACCCCTCAGAAGTTGTAACTATTGCTGGTTTATTGCTGCTTGCCTACTGACAAAGTTCTTGGGACTGTCAATACACATGGGTAACACAGGGGAGGCAGGCCATCAGGGCTCCTGTTGCTTCTGAATTGTAGGTCTACCCTTCTTCTGAAGGATGTAGAGTAAGGTCAAGGTAGAAAAGCCTTCTCCGCCTCATCCCTACTACCTTCCTCCTACTAGTGCCCCAAATATTGAAGTGGTTGAATGCCACTTCAGGAATGTATTCAGGAATTAAAGAAATAGTCATGTATTCAGGAATTAAAGAAATAGTCATGTTTGTTTCTTTTTCTCCGTCATTAAAACACACACACACACACACACACACACACACACACACACACAAAATCACTCACATGTATAAGACTCAACTTTTTAGTGTTTTCTAAGTGTAGGGGAAGAAAATATTTTCCTCATCCTTCTTACGGTCCCTGGCTGGGCCAAAATTAAACTGACAAAGACAGATTAACAGGAGAAAGACATACAAACATATTAAGTTTCACATGACATGGGAGCCTTCACAAGGAAATGAAGATCCAAAGAAATGGCAAAAACTACTTGCTTTCATGTTAGGTTGAACAAAGAGATAATTGTGGAAGAGTCACTAAACTATATAGGGAGGCTAAAGGAATATAATATGTATTTCAACAAGGTCTGTATAGAATTCTCTTGTTCTTAACCTTTTGACCTCGACTTTAAGAATTTTACTTTCCTTCTGGTGTAGAAAGGGCATCTTCAATATAGAATTTCATCTCCTGCTTTTAGGAAAAAGAAGGAAGGTCAATGTTTCTCTTGTACTCGCTGTTTTTCAAGTGCCCCTTGAAATAGTCCTTTGCCAAAACAGCATACTCTGGGGCAACTCGCCCTGAACTCCTTCATCAGCATACTCAGCCTTTCTCAACAGTTCAGGGATGTAGGTATTCTCCCAAGGGCAAGAAAACAGAATGGTTACCACCTTACATAGGGCGTGAAGGAATGCAAGGGGGTAGAACTGAAGTCTCTTAAATCTCATTCCAGTGCCCTTTCAGTTGTGATTGGTCATAGCTGCACATGTGATCCCCTTTTATGTAAGGGCAATTAAGGTGGGATCCCAAAACACAAAGATTCAATTTTAGAATTATAAGGAACACAGAAACTTCTGTAGAACTTTTCCGCCTTTACCTTTAGCATCTCCGAAGAGACTGTGGGCAGTGAGTAAGGGAAGGAGAGGCTTGAGTTCCTGGGAGTGAAGACTGGCCCCCAAGTGTCCTCCTCTGTCAAATGCACATGCAGGACACACATGCAGCCTAGGGTGCCAGCCTTGGGAGACGGTCTTAATGGAGCTATCCCAGATTCACATGCAAAAACTGGGCACCCCTTACAGATCAAAGAAATAAGAAAGATGAACACACTAAAAAGAAGCTGGGATTAAATATATACATGGAGAATAATCAACCAGGAATGAAAGTGTGGGTGGGAAGGAGGAAGATAGAGGGTGAAGACTGCATGGGGTTGGGTGTGCAAAGACCACATTCTTATGCTGGATGTGCAAAGATAACAGCGAGCTGACTGAATGCCGCTTCTGAGATTTCTTTGAGCTTTTGATTCAGAACTGCATTGTACGAATGGACCCCTCCCCACTCACAAAGGCTCTCAGAGGGCATCTGGATCAGCTTCAGCAAGATTATACATGGTGCGGATACACCGGGGACAGACAAGGAATAGGGCTGGAGATCAGGGTAGTGGCACTGGTAACGGGGTAGACTCTTGGACCGCTCCCTCAGGGCATCTTTTCAAGGCTCACAAGTTTCTGTAGCTTACAACCGGTCGCTACGCTCTGGAGTCATAAAACGACCCTGCTGCAAGGTGCTGGGTGACTTGGTAATTCTGTATCTCAGATTCTTGAGATCTGAGCCTGACCTCTACTGCTAACAAGGCTCTTCTGGAATTCCAGGTTATCCTATGGCCTTCCAAGAATCCTCCACCCAAGCCCTTTCTCTAGAAATGCTTCTTAGGACAAGAGAAGCAGTCTTTTAAAACCTGGATACCCTCAGTGGCACCAGCTATCGCCGCCCCTCTCGGGGCTGGGTTATTCCGCACTATCTAGGGCTCTACTGGGGTAGGGGGCGTCCGGGATGCTACGCGCCCCCCAGGGCCGGTGTGCGGCCCGCAGGAGACCTGGGGGAGCGCCGGCTGGCCGCCAGATGATGTTCGGAGCCCGCAGCCCAGGGGAGGCGGCGTGAGCCCGCGAGAGCCCGGTGCAACCGCGGTAGCCGCGCTCGAGCGCAGCCTCCTCCCGCTCCCACAATGCACAGGGCGGCGGCGGCGGCAGCATCACCGGCCGCCGAGGGGGCTGCGGCGGCGACTCCGCGGACGCTGGGCACGCGGAGCGCTCGAAGCTGCTGTGGGTGAGACCCGGACTGATGGCGAGGCTCCGGCGGGCCGCCCGCGCCTGAGGCGCCGCGCCCCGCCCCGCCCGGCCCCGCCTGCCCAGCCCTGCGCCCGACGGCGGCAGCCTGGGCGCTTCCTAGTCCGCGCGGGCGGCAGCCCAGGCGAGGTGCGGCCTCCGCTCAAGCGTGGGGCATCGACACCGCGGGCTCGCCATGGCCGCGTCCGAGCTCTACACAAAGGTAGGGCGCCCCGCGGGTGTGGGAGGGGGCTGCGCAGGCCGCAGCGCCAGCTGTCTGGCAGGGGTCCCGAGCGGCTGGGGCGCCACCCCCTTTCTGAGCATTTCCAAACCCCGGGCCCTGCGGGTCTGTCGCCCGCAGAGGCGCCTTCCTCTTTCGGGCCGTGATGATGATGAAGGCCGTGGACGGAGGCGGGCCGCGTGGGCTACCTCTGGCCTCTGACACCTCTCCTAGGCTGGGAGCAGAACGCGTTTCTAGGACGGGGAATTTAGTAGGGCGGGCCTGGGTCAGGACTGCGCAGCCCTTTGGTTCGCTTTAGGGAAAAATCCTGACTCGTGGGAGATGCTTGTCTGGTCGATCAAATGGTCCCTCCCTTGCGAACACGAGCTTAAAATAACGTCCGGTGTGGGTATGTGGTGCCACTTCTACCGCCAGCCAGCCTTTCTGTGCGATTATTGGGAATCCTGCAAACTGCCGGCAGCCAATTTTCACCTTTAGTTGCCGCGTTTCTGGTCGCTGCCCTGTGGGTGGTGAGCCCCTGGGAGGATGCAGCCGTATAAATGGAAGCTGATTCCCGGGTTGGGATGGTCCTTACTCATTTGTCGCTGGGAGTTTGCAACCTGCGTGTAATCCCTAGAGCCTTGTTAGACTCCATATCTTCACCATACACTGAGGCGAGCCTTTTCTTCTGGGTTTAATTTAAGGGAAGTGGCATCCTTTTCTTCATAATGCTGACATCAGTATTCTCGTGTCTGGTAATCTCTAAGTGGCATGTTTTGAAGAACTGTCCCTTTGAAGTCTGTTCTGAAAATTTGTCTTGGGCAGTGTGTGGTGTCTTTTGTGAACATGTGTAATCATGGTATTTTATACTGTAACTCATATGTGTAGGTAAGAGTTTTGTCAGCTGTTAATTACCTTTAACAAAATGGCCTTAACTTTTCAAGTTCGCATTTGCAGCAGAATCTCCATTTAGGATTCTAGAATCATTACTTCCAAATGAGACCCCAAGTAAACCCAGGACCCAAGTTGCAGCACATTAGGGAGAAAAGAGGTCTGGACTCAACATCAAGAGAACTGGATTCTAGCCCCAGGTCTTTTCACTTACTGTGCGACCTTGGGTCTTCAGTAAATGGGGTTAATTGTATGTGCCCTGCATCTCTTACAAAGCTGTTGTGAGGATTAAATTTACAAATAAGTAAGAAAGCTTTTTGTAACCTGTGAATTTCCCTACAAATATGAGTTATATGGTTAATTTCTTCAGCCATGAAATGAGCTTTCTTGGAACATTTTCTGGGACCCCTTTCTTTCCAGTCCCAGATTTAAAGAATGCACAATTGCAACTTTTCTCTAAACCTAGTAATTTCTTTAGGCATTGTAGATCTCTAATGTATAAATGAATGCAGTTGGAAACTGATTCAAAGTCACTTGAATCACAAACATTTGTATAGTGCTTATTATGTGTCAGGTACTGTGCTAAGTGCTTTACAAATTAGTTCATTTAATTCTTATAATGAATGTATGAAGTGGTTACTAAGAAATATCCATTTGAATCATTTTCACATGAAGAGATCTGTAAACATTACTTACTTTGCATAATCCCCTTCCCTCTTTGTCTGTGGTGAGGACTCCATTGTTGAGCTGCCTAACTGTAGGTTGGTTAACTAGAGAAGGGCTGGATAATAAATAGCTCTTGGATTTTGGATCTGCTTTTTCCCACCAAGATAATTTGTGGTGGGGTTGGGGAGTGGGGTGTGGGGAACAACTGTGATTTTTCATTTGTCAGGTTTGGGGCTTCAGCCATAGCTTCAAATTACCTGTTTTAAAATTACCTGCTAGTCGTTATAAAGACAGCCTGGTTTAGACATCAAGACTGAAGTTGAGTTTAAGCTAGCGACGTTCTCCTAAATGCATTTATGCCTAAAAATAATCTAATCACTTGGCTGTTGTTGGCCAATTCTTTGTGTGACTGGAGTGGGCAAAAGTATTTATTGACCACTTCCTGGGTAGTCAGGTACTCTGCTCAATGTTGAGAGGTCCTAACAGTGAACAAGACACAGTCCTTTCCCTCAGAGGGCTCATAGTCTGCTTCTTACATTCTTGACCTATTTTGAATCTCCAAGGGCATAAATAACCTACTGTAACTCAACAGAAGGCAGATAGCTACTATGGTATTAGCAGAAGTTGGGGAACAGGTTGGGAAATGAGGAATGTTGGAATGGTTCTAGAAACAAAAGCTTGGATAGTGATTATTGTTAGAAGTAGTATGAATGGATAGCCACAAGGATTTTTCCCTTGCAGAGGATTACAGGAAAGGAAGTTCTGGGGTAGAGAACTAGGAAAGCTGTATTAGTGACATGCCATCATTATGGTATTCAACAAAGTACCCTTTTAAAAAAAGGTCATGCAGAGCTTAAAGGAAGATTTTGATGTGTGATACACATCAGCTCTTAATTGTGGTGAAAGGCAAGAAACCCTTCAGTTCATTCTATTTAGCTAAAATGATAATGGTTTTGTCATGGCAATTTAATAGGGTTTCCATTTTGTAAATTTTCCCAGCAGTATAAACATTTTAAGGATAATAGCTATGTTCCTAGGATAGGATACTTCTGCAGTCTAACATTTTGTTTAAAACATGTTTGTTGGTATTAAAAATTACAGATTTATTGAGATATAATTCACATACCATACAATTTACCAATTCAGTGGTGGTTTTTAGAATATTCATAGAGTTGTGTATGGATTTGTTTTTAGATATGCCTGGCTTCCCAAAGGAATTGAAGGTGCCTGTGATGTGTCATTGCTTCTGATTTTGAGAATATTTGCTAGTCTTGACTTGTCAGTGGATATCCGAATCATAACATCACACATAGATGCTTTCAGCAGCTTCAAAGGATTTAGCATTTATGGAGCAGAGTTTATTAATTAGACTAGACAGATCATCGCAGCAATAAGATGTCCTAATAGTCCTTCTTACTTGAGGTACTGAGACACCACTGTGGAATGGCCAAGATTACCTGAAGTTGTTTCATTAGGAGTCTACGTGGTGTGTCAGGAGGCTGAGTTTTGTGACAGTGCAAAAAGGTTTTAAAACCCTCACTCTAGAGCCATATAAGCTTGTCTAGTTGAAATAGCTGTTTAAGCCAGTAGATTGTGTATCCGTAGCCTTCCTTTCCCACCATATTCCTCATATCTACCGACACTACATGGCCAAGATTTTTTCTGGAATAGTTTCAATTTTATATGCTATGCCATTGTTCCTTTAAACTATCAATCTTGGAAGTTCTATTATTTTGGTGTCAAAATTGGATTTCTTAGACTGCTTCCAAAATCTTAAAGCAGGACAGCAATCTCGTCTCTGATCATTTCCTCAAGTCTCCAGTCATGCCTTTTCCATCTGGGTTTCCTCCTGGTGTCCCTAGGCCTGCTAATAGCACTGCAGTTCTCTGAGTCTGTGAGGTTGGAAACCTCAACAGACTTTCCTCTGTCTCTTTGCATTCTACATCTTGTTTACCAATTCTAATTTTACTTGACATACAGCTGACAGTTCTGTCTTAATGACCTATACCAATTTCCATCTCATTATAGTTATTTGTGTGCATGTCTGCCACTCCCACAATAACCCTCTGAGATGCTAGTCAGAGTTTTGTTCATCCTCTGGTAGAGCCTTACTCATTGCCTCACACATAGTAGGTGCTGATTAAATATTTATTGGATGAATGAAAGAATACTTAGAAGAGAGATAGAATGCAAATAAGAGTTTGGGATGATTTAGTCCACTTGTAGGAACCAAGCAGAGTGTAAAGAAGTTATTAAACTGGTAGGCACATTTTCAGGCATGTTGAACAGGATGGGTGATAGAGAGGAGAGTTGGGACCCTGGGAGACCAAGGAAGCTGTTGCGGGAACTGGAATGTGAAGCGATGGAGGCCTGGTAGACTGAGACCGGGCAGATGGATTAGGTATAGGATGGGAAGGAGAGGAAATAGTGTAAATTAATGCTAGTAGCTCTAGCTTTGGAAACTGAAATTTTATTCCTACTAATCATGAATTTTTGCTGATTCTAACTCAAGCTACTCAAATACTTCTTTAGACTTCTGAAGCAAAGCAGAATACTTATGATTTTCTCTTGAAATGCTACTGCTTCTTGTAGTGTGAAAGTTCAATGTATTGCCCAGTGGCTAAAAGATTACAGAGAGATTCTAATTTAATGAGAATTGCTACTGTCAGCTGAACAGTTTAATAAATATCCGTGGTGCACCCTGGCTGGTGTGGCTCAGTGGATTGAGCACAGGCCTGCGATCCGAAAGGTCACCAGTGAACCTGGTGAGGGCACGTTCATGGGCACCAGGTCCCCAGTTGGGGGTGTACGAGAGGCAACTCCCATCGATGTTTCCCTCTCTTTTTCCCTCCCTTCCCCTTTCTCTAAAAATAAATAAATAAAATCTTTAAAAAATTAATAAATAAGTATCCGTGGTGCTGTTAGCTTTTCAAAGTAGGGGAATGCTGGAGGAAGATCTATGAGTGGGGTTCCAGGGATTTCACTACAGCATCCAAAGGGTCGGGGGATGTGATGGTAACTTTTCTATAGGAGAGTCTGGGAGAGGAGAGATGAATCCCCTTACCTAACATCTTATCTCAGAAGGTATGTTAGCTTCTCTGTTTATCATTTTATGATGGATTTTGCCTCCATCGGGAGAATCTAGGGGCACGTGGCCCAGGGAACATGGACTTGGATTTATTCGTCTCCACTTAGGGCAGTTCCTAATGAAGTATAAGGCATTATTGGAAGTGTCAACTCCCGGCTGATCTGTGGAATAAGTCTGGCCCTCAGTAAAATACTCTGCGGGCAAGCCCACTCCTCCCACTCCACCCCAATAGACACTATCCTCTGTCCCACAGTGGTCTTCCCAGACTCTTCCCATTTGTCTGCCTGGGGAGTTTGTCTCCTCTTTTTCTCCAGTGCCTGCCTCTCTCTCCAATCAACTTTATTGAGGTGTAATGTAC